CCCCCCCCCCGCCAGTGGCTCGGAGGCTCCCATTTCCGGCGTGAGGGGCCCCCCAGAAGTGGCAGAAGCAATTGCCTCACCGGCCGCATGTGGGGGGGAAAACAGTATGCCTCCATGTGCAGATGGTGGTTGCTGTTGCTGCTGCTGTTGCTGCTGCTGTTGCTGCTGCTGTTGCTGCTGCTGTTGCTGCTCTTGCTGCTGCTGCTGTAGATGCTGCTGCTGCTGTTGCTGCAAAAGCCCAACGAGCGGCTCTTGCTGGCCTTGGACTGCCTGTGTGATGGCGGGAGGCAGATGATATGGCTGCTGCAGCGGGGCTGTCTCCTGAAAGGCCGGCTGCACAGGGAGTGGTTGCTGCTGCTGTTGTGGGAGTGGCTGATGTTGTTGCTGCTGCTGTTGTGGGAGTGGCTGATGTTGTTGCTGCTGCTGATCCTGCAGCACGCGGGCTTGCTGCTGCTGTATCGGGAGCGTCTGCTGGTGCTGCAGCGCTTGAGCTGGTTGCTGCTGCAGTGGCAGTGGCTGTGTTTGCTGTTGCAGTGGAAGCATTTGCTGGTGCTGCTGCTGTGGGTGCGTCTGCTGCTGCTGCAGTGTGAGTGGATGCTGCTGCATGGGAGCTGTCTGCTGATGCTGCAGTGGAAATGCTTGCTGTTCCTGTAGAGGCAGAGTCTGCTGCTCGTGCTGCATCTGGAGTGTCTGGTGTCTTTGCAATGGAAGTGGCTGTTGTTGCTGCGGTTGGTGTGTTTGTTGCTGCTGCAGTTGGTGTGTTTGTTGCTGCTGCAGTGGAGGACGTTGCTGTTCTTCCTCCAGTGGCGGTGGATGCTGCCCCTGCTCCAGCGGAAACGTTTGTTGTTGCTGCTGGGGGAGGGGCTGTTGCTGCTGCAGCGGGAGTGAAGCTTGATGCTGCAGTGGAAGCAAATTCTGCTGCTGCCCTGGTACGGGCTGCTGCTGGAGTGGTAGCTGCTGCTGCCACTGCAATGGCACTGTCTGCTGTTCTTGCTGCTGCGGAAGAACCTGCTGTCGCTGCTGTGGGAATGTTTGCTGGTCCTGCGGCACTGAGACTGGTTGCTGTTGTCCCTGTACTGGGGGCACCAGCGGATGTTGTTGCGGAAGTTGCTGCTGCTGCAGTGAAGCAGCCTGTTGCTCCTGCTGCAGCGCAGCTGTCTGTTGCTGCTGAAGTGGAAGCGTCTGCTGCTGCTGCAGCGGTGCAGCGTGCAGCTGGTGCACATCACTCGTTTGCTGCAGTGGACTGGCCAGAATAGGCTGCTGCACAGAAACTGGCTGCTCCTCCTGCTGCACTGCCAGCGGGTGCTGCTGCTGGCCTGGCTGCTGGTGTGGCTGCGCCTGCTGCTGCAGGGGCTGCTGAAGCTGCGCTGGCTGCAGAGGCTGCTGGTTCTGCTGCTCCTGCAGTGGAGAAAGTGTCTGCTGCTCTGCGTCACGTCGTTGCTGCGGAAGCTGCTGCTGCTGCTGCTGTCCCTGCTGCTGCTTTTCCTCCTGCTGCAGTTCCTGCTGTTGAATCTGCTGCCCCGGGGCGTTGTTCGTAGCTCTTGCTCTCCACTCTCTCATCTCTGAGGCGACGCTCCTGCCCGTAGGCCTCTCGGCGGAGCTGCTGCTGCTGCTGCTGCTTCTATTGTTGTTAATAATGCGGCTGCTGGCTGGCGATAGCGGGTAGTCTATGCTTGGGAAATTGCTGCTGCTGCCGCTCATGCTGCGGCAGCCAAGGCCTGGCGCGTAGGAGGCGCGGCGGAAAGGAGTAGGCTCTGACGTAAAGGTTCCTGGAGCTGCTTCTGCAGGGCTTTGGGACATTTGCTGCTGCTGCAGTCGCATGCGGGCATCCTGGTGCTGCAGCAGCAGCAGCTGCTGCTGCTGCAGGTGCTGCCGTCGCTGCTGCTCCTGCTCTTGCCGATCCCGCAGGGCTGAGCGCACGTTGCGTTGCTGCTGCAGTGGTGCCACCAATGGAGCCAGCTGCTGCAGCGGGAGATGTTCCTGCAGCGGAATTTGATGCGGCTGCAGTGGAACCTGCTGCGGCTGCTGCAGCTGAGGCTGCGAGTGCTGTGGCTGCAAGCTCGTGGCCGGCTGCAGCAGTAACTGCTGCTGCAGATGAAGGCCTCGTTCTGTGGGATTCACCACGACATGCATGCCCTGTACTGGAGCACTCTGCAAAACTTGCTGTTGAAGCTGCTGCTGTAGCTGCCGTTGTTGTAACTGCTGTTGATGCTGCAGCAGGAGCTGATGTTGCTGCTGCTGCCGCTGCTGCGCCTCTGCCCACTGCAGCGGCTCCGTGGAATGCTGTAACACCTCCTGAAGAGAAGACAAATGCTGTGGCAGCTGTTGCTGCTGCTGCTGCAACACTTGCTGCTGCTGCAGCGCTTGCTGCTGCTGTAGAGCATGCAGCTGCGGCAGTGGATCATCTGTGGGGGACAGGGTTGCGGCAGGGACACTGGCAACAGTATGATGCGGCGGTGGCTGCTGTTGCATTCGATCTGGATGCTGCTGCAGCAACGCTGCCGCTGCGATCTGCTGCTGCTGCTGCTGCACTCCACCGTCATGTATCCCGGGCTGCTGCTGTCCTGGCAGCCCTGTGTTTATTTCTTGACTCATCTTGTGGGGGTCAGCTTTTACAGTTCTTGCTGCAACTTTTTATGTTGTCACTGCTGCCACAAGCGGCGCTGCTGATCTTGCAGCTTAACAGCAGCAGCAGCAGCGGCTGCATTTGTGGCTGGGGGTCCAATGAGCTCTGATTGCAGCGGCGGAAGTAGAACAGCAGGAGAAAGCGCAGCAACAACAGCCGCTGCTGCTGCTGACGCTGCGCCTTAAACGTCTGTGTGTGACAAGAGAGGGCCTGAGGTGGACAAGCAACAGAAAAGGCTTGGCAGCAGGAGCTGCAGCGGTGCTGCAGCAGCTGCAGCAGCTGGGGCTGCTGCAGCTCGTGCTAGATCTGAATTCCGCCCTCTAGTGACTCTTACAGATTATGTACCTGCAGAAGAAGAAGAGAACAGGCAATGTGTGCGGCCCTAGAGCGAGACTAGCTGTGACGGCTGTAGCACCTGCAGCAGTTGCAGTTGTGACAGCAGCAGCCGCAGCAGCTGCAGCCAGCTGCTTCTGTTTTCCCTTTTAGGTGGTAAAGACAGATAGGAAAATAACACACAAAGAATACGGACAGGGTGCCGCAACAGTCCACGATGGACACCAAAGTGACCTCGGGGGCCCCTCCCGCCTCTTCCTGATGCTGCTGCGGCGGCGGCGGCTCCAGACGCAGGTGTGTGGTTGCGGCTTCTTCGATAGGCAGCTAGAGAACAAATCTAGTTTGAAATGTAAACCAAAACAACACACAGTGAAGCACCAACAGAAGCAGTACAAGGAGGGCTCAGAGCCACGCAACACAGAGCATGCAGGGGCCTTGCGGGCTCGCGCTGCTGCGGGGTTTTCGGGAAGTTTAGGCTCTGAATTTAAAGCTTTGGAACTCAAATAAAGTGCAAGTTTACATGTCATTATAAGTTTCCTCTGCTACACTGCAGAAGAGACACGCGAACCTCTGTGGTTCGACCGGAGCACCGGCTGCAGCACCACCGGCACAGCAGCGGACCTCTCTGCGCTGCACACTGAATGCTGTTCTTCTCTTGAAGTAATAACAAATTTTTTGTTCGTGATTTTGTTGTTTATGCATTCGACATTCATGGGGGTCCCCGGGCAGCCCATGGTAAGCTTACCAAGACCCTGGTAGCGCTTGTTAGCTGCAGAGCATGTCCCATGGATTTATTTCCGGTCAACGCTTTCCGCTTCGAAACCCACACAATTGTGGCTACTTCTAAAAAGCAATGCGTGTTACTAAGGGAAGTGAAAGTGCCGAATCTGGTAAGGAGGCATTTACGCTGTACACGGGCCTCCAGATGCGCAGTAGCAGTAGACGGTGGCATAAATGCGTGGGCAACTGGGCGTGAATTCTCGCGTTTGTTTGTAATACACTTATATAAGTAAATTTATACCCTTCGGCGCGCACGGAGGTCCTTCTGTGTTCGATCAGCTCCGCCTGCATCTGCTGCAAAATGTGCATGTGTATTCAATGGTACGGACAAGAGTATATTAAATTTTCGTATGCACACTACTCGTTTGCGTTGTTGCATCCCTTACTACAAACATTTTGGTGGCAAGTGCACGTAGAGGAATAATCCTTTTAACGCATATTCTTTGCAAAAATCAGTCAAGACAACCTTCGTTTAAGGCATATGGTCCGGCAACCCGAAACCAAACCATACAGCCAAAAGCCCCACGCTGAGTTGTTCATGCACCACAGCACCACCAGCTCCACCAGGAGGGGCCCCCCTGTCCAGCCAAACCTACTAAGAGAGGCCCCTGGCTTTTCAGCAGCCCCGACGTATCATCAACATAAGCTGCTGCTGCTGCGGCTGACAAAGAACAAGCAGTGGCAGCAATCGCTGCTGCTGCAGCACTCTGTCCCAGCGCCTGCTGCAGCTGAGCCGTGGATGGCCCGGAGATGAAAAACCTTCGCCGTTACGCTGCGGCCCAACAGCAGCGCCAGCAGTAGCTGCTGCTGCTGCTGCTGCTTCGGTTAGAGTCCGCGGCCTTCTATAGAAACTTTCGTTGCTTTTGTGGGCCGACGCGGCACCCGAGATCCAATACGAAGAGCCTTGTTTAGCTGTACCAACGCAGCAGCAAGAGCAGCAGCAGCAAATGTTAAAGCTGCTGCAGCAAAAATACTAACAGCAGCAGCAACCGTGACGATAGCGGAGCGGCGCAACTTCCTCCACTAGCAAGACAAAAGTGCCCCGTGGCAAGCAGCAGCAGCAGCAGCTGCTGCTACCGCTGCCGCTGATGCTCAGAGCTCTGTGCTCACCTGGGACGCTTGCTGCTGTTTGCCTTCTGCTTCGTCCAAATCTACTTGGGACCTCGGTTGTATCTGCAGAACGAAAGTTTATTCAAATACAGAATTAAATAAGCAATAACGCAAAACACCAAGGGGGTTAGGGGTCTAAAGAATAAGTTAATATTTATGCCATATTGTCCTAACAAAAGACCTCTTGGAGGACTAGATGTGGCTTTTAAATAAGGGCAGAGTTCATCTGCTTCCAAACGGCCCCACATCCAACAACGAAGCCGCCGCACCAACAGCAGCGGCCGCACCAACAGCAGCAGAAGCGACAGCAGCAACAGCAACGAAAGTAATGTCAACGGCGCCAGTGCAGCAGCAGCAGCAGCAGCAGCAAAAGCAGCCTACTAGGAAGTTGTGGCCTCTATTAACAGGGATCCGGGCAGTTCGCCGCCTCTTCTCTGCCTGTTGTTCTGCTGCTTTCTCGGCTGCAAAAAAAAGAAACAAACAGAAAAGGACTTTATTGGAACTCTGTGGCCCTTCAGAGGCGCAGCGATATGGAACAACGGCGCAGCTGTACATACACTCGAAAATATCATTTGTACACATAGAAGTCCGCATAAGGCTGATTATAAAATTAACACAGTGTTGTGTTGTGCATGCATCCATGTTGCACATACACCACGAATAAACATAAATAACACAAACAAAAGAACATAAAGTTGCGCGTACACCCCAAAAGCTGCACGCACCCTCTGCCTTCTCTCGGAGCTGCTTGGCTGCCTGGGCGGCCTGAAACAGGAACAGGCAAGCTGAAGCGTACAAATGCAATTTCTGCATGTTTAGTTTGTCTATGCTGATTAGAAGTTCGGAAAACAATACAACTCTATGCATGCCAGCATCGAAGGCGCCAGAGGCAGCAGCGCATACAATCTAACAGAAAAACCTTCAGATAGAACACCAATAGCACCAACAGTTGCTGCAGTTTCGGCTGTAGCAGCAGCTCCGGCTTTCAGCTTCTGCTGCAGCAGCAGTTAACTCACCTTAACCAGCTTCTGCTGAAGGTCAGAATCGTTCGCCTCGAAAGCTCTTTCCCTCTCTGAGATGAGTTGCCGGTGACTGAGTAGCAGCAGCAGCAGCAGCAGCAAGAGCTGCAGCAATGGCTTAATTTAGGCCGTAGAGGCCATCAAAAGGAGCATAATGTGCCAAGTGGTAGCCCCATGCATATCAAGAGCCACAAGAGCAGCAGCAACAGCAGCAACTAAGATGCAGCTGCTGGAAGCTCGTTTGCGGCAGCAACCGCAGCAGCAGCAAAACTGTTTACCTTGAACCCAGGCCCAGCACTGGACGCATCCACTTTTGAATAAGCCCCCTTATAAGCTGGCGATTGCTTTCCGTCTCGTCTAGCGCAAAACAAATAAAAAGGCCAAACCCTAAACCCTAAACCCTTAACCCTAAGCCCTCAACCCTCGAAGTAGAGGCGCAGACGCTGAGGCAAACAGGCCAGCGCGGCGCCCTGACCCTTAACCGAAAGCCTTTAACACGATGCCCCTGGCCTGAAACCCTAAACCCTAGAACCCCGCTCTGCGTATTGCATTCAAGCTGCGCGGGCGGAGGAGCCCCCCAGTAAATCCATTTATCGGGTTTGTGGGTCCCTGGCAGTCAACTTCAGATTCTAGGGTTTAGGGTTTAGGGTTTAGGGTTTACCATCGTGCTGCCAGAGAAGCACCAAGACCTTGCCCAAGTCGTTGTTGGCCAAGTCCTGTGCAGTGATTGGCATTTGCCCCAAGACCTCCAGCAGCCTCCGTCTCAGCGAAAAATTGGGCAAACTGTCATCTTTAAAGGGGGCAAGCCAGCCAGCAATGACCTGCAAAAATGTAAAAAAAGCACTTATTTGCTTCTCCAATGATTTATTTGTTTGTCTGTTGCCACCACAAGGTGCGCGTTAAAGCAATACTAAACAGCATGCATGCACCCCCGGCAGCAGCAATGACAACAACCCCACCCTCACCTGGCAGCAGCCTTCGGAAACGAACCAGTGACGCCATTTTGGCTGCGGCCACAACAGCAGCGCAACAGCAGCAGCAGCAACGGCAGCATCAGCAATGCAGCAGTAATACTATAAAAGGGCCTTTTACAAAACACGACAGATGAGCACATCGTCAAGTGGATATACACCTCACGCTTCCAGACAGGCAAGTAACAGGAAGACTTTCCGACTCATATTCAGCGTAAGTACACCTCAGCATCAGTCCATAGAGCACCAGCAGCAGCAGCGCAGCAGCAGCAGCAGCAGCAGCAAGCCCATATCGTGGGCGCGCATGCAAGCATGTATGCAGCCAGATAGGGTGCTAGGACTCCCCAAGTGGCCCTAAATCGGGGCTGCTCACAGAAACTCTTGTGAAAAAAGCCCCATAACAACAACCCCACCACTCAGGGGTTCGAGCTTACCTTGACGAGCTCTGTACAGACAGTGTCCAGCATTTGGAGCTTTGCAGTGGCTGGCTCCCCTGCCTCCAGGCTCCTTTCGTCTGCAGCAGCAGCAGCAGCAGCAGCAGCAGCAGCAAAAAAAGAGCATAGTAGCGAGCAGCCATTTCAAAGAGAAAACAGTGTGCTCACAGGCTCCAAATAGTGCTAAACCCTAAACCCCAAACCCCAAACCTCCTCAAGGCTGCAAAGCAGCAACCCAAAAAATCAAAAGAGAGAGGCAGGTGGCAAAAAGCAAACAAAGGCAATTCAAGAGAAGCAAAGGTAAGCAGGAAGTGCCAAAAGGAGCTAAAAGAAGAAACAAAGAGAAGAAAAGTGAAAAAAAGGAAGAAAGAAAAAAGCAAAAGGCGCAGCAAAACTGGCCCCGAGGGCCTCAAAAGAAGCAAAAAAGGCGGAAAAGAAAAAAAGAAAACAAAGAAAAAACCCCAAGGCGCACCCTGCTGCGAAGCTTCGGACATTTTTTGAAGCATTTGATTGCAAAATAACTGCAAGTCGGAGTCCAAGGGTTTGGGTCTTCTCTTGCGTCTTTGTCTCAGTCGATTTAAAGCACTTTCGAAACTCGTGGGATCTGCAGAAGGCGCCGGGTCCGTCCAGTCCGCCTCCCGCTGCATGCAAACAAAACGCATGCAGCAGCAAAAGCCCCAAGTCCAATGCCAAAGCCCCAAGGATCCTCAGTCTTGAACTCGCCACCTTTGTCCTAAGCCTAAAACCCTAAACCCTAAACCCTAAACACTCCCAACTCCCTGGACCCAGGCCCCAAGAATCCTCAGCCTCGAATTCGCCACCTTTGTCCTAAACCCTAAACCCTAAACCCTAAACCCTAAACCCTGCACTGTGTGCCCAACGCCCCAGACCGAGGCCCTAAGGATCTTCAGTCTTGAGATCGCCGCCTTTGTCCTAAACCCTAAACCCTAAACCCCAAACCCTCTACTGTGCCCAGGACCCTACACCCAAGACCCGAGGACCCTGAGCCTTCAGCTCGCCAGCTGTGTCCTAGAGCGTAAACCCTAAACCCTAGACCGTTCACTCCACGCGCTAAACCCTAAACCCTAAACCCTCAGTCGAGAAACAGGGGGCAGGCGCTACTGCTGTGCTCCGGCCAAACTGTCTGCAATTGTGAATGGAACATTTTTAAAACTGAACTGATCTGCACTGGCGAGGGGGAAGTAGCTGGGGCTGCGGTGTATGTACACCCGAACTGCTCACGTCGCTGTCGATGCCGCCCTCCACCGGCACAATGTCATCAGGGTCTTCATGAATTGCTGCTTCTGGATCTCTTTCAATAAATCCATCCAAGTTGTCGGGGTCTGCGTCAGTTGCTGCTGCTGCTTTGCGCTGCTCCCTGTGTTTGTGCTTGTGCTTGTGCTTGTGTTTGTGCTTGTGCTTCCGCTCTCCCTTTTCCTTCTTGGCTTTCTTTTCCCGGCGAGCAGCAGCTGCTTCCGGGCTGCTGCTGCTGTGCTGCTGCGTCTCATCCGCAGCAGGGTACTCCTGCTGCTGCAGCTCCTGCCGCTGCAGCTCCTCCTGCGCAGCCTGCAGCCGCAGGCTCTCGGCCTGCAGCAGCTGCTGCTCCCCCGCTAGTCTCGCAGCCTCATCCAGAAACTCCTCCGGCAGCTGCTGCTGCTGATCCAGCTGCTGCGTCTGCGGCTCGTCAAGCAGCTCGTCTTCAACCCCAAACAGCCCTCCAGCCGCCTCCGCGTCCGCCATCGATGCTGCTGCTGCTGCTGTGTTTGCTGCAGTGGCGGCAGTCTGGGAGGAGAGGCACCTGCAGCGGCGCCAGCTCCTGCTGCAGCTGCGGTGGTGGCTTCTTTGGCCGAGGGCGCTGCTGCTTCTTGCTGCTGCTGCTGCCGCTGCGCCCGTGTTGGTTAGAGGCCGCCGCCCCTTGAGTCCTTTCTGTTTACCCTTTACATTAAATAATTAAGAATAATTAAACCAAAGCTAAAACTGTAGGCGAAAAAGCTAGATTGCTGAACCCACAGGCAGCCCTGGCCGTGTTGGTTGCGCATGCAGGATCGACCCGGCTTCCTTCGCTGCGCGTTCGGGGGAAATCAGAAGTTAACTCCAAATAATATAAAGCGCTGAAAAGTAAATGCAAATACTTTAAAGTATCTTCAATTAGATATGCAATAGACCATTGGGGGCTATCGAGCCGCGCAGCAGCGGCGCCAAACCTCTCCTCGGGGCCCCCTCGGCTTTGGTGCCACCTATGGCTCTGATCTTCGCCTAGAAGTGTCTGAAAACTACCAAAAGGTGAAGTCAGCAGGTTTGAAAGCTTTTCTTTATTTGTTTCTGTTCAAGAAGGATTAAGGTTTGGGCTGCGCACGGCCGCCGTGCACATAGCCACGCCCCTCCACCGCCCCCCGCCCACCACGCTCCCGCTGCCTCTTTCTGTGCATGCGCTGCTCTGTTCTGTCTCTTCCTGTCTTTGCTCATTACTCTCTTGGAGGACTCCTGAGCGCCTCACTTCTAGTCCCGTGTGCTGCGGCGGTGGTGCTCGCAGCAGCAGCAGCAGCAGCAGCGGCAGCAGCAGCGGCGGTGCTGCTTGCATTTCAGCCCGCAACAAACGAAAGTGCTGCAACGCAAGCATTTTCTCTATCTGAGCTTATATGTGTGAAGACGCGGACGCTCAGACACGCCACTAGCAGCAGCAGCAGCAGCAGCAGCAGCAGCCGGAAGGGCAAAAGCAGCAGCAGCAAAGGAAAAGAGCTGTTTGCCCCCCGTAGTGCTGGCTGCGTTTGCCTTTCTGAGCGCCTTTTGCCGTCGGTTTGCCCAGGAGCCTGTTTGGGCTGCATGCATTTTCCAAACCCTAAACCCTAAACCCTAAACCCTACAATGGGGAAGAGAAGGGGAGCGGCGATTGGGGCGGGTGCCCTGGGCACCATGACGGCTGTGGCCGCGCTGGTGCAGCAGTCTTTGCTGCTGCTGCTGCTGTGCGTTGGTGGGGTTGTTGTTTATGGCATTTGGTTTTGGCTAAGAGTGTTTCGCTGCAGCAGCGCTGCATCGGCCCTGCAGCAGCAGCAGCAGCAGCAGCGGCGGGCTTTGCGCAGCAGCAGCAGCAGAAGCAAGAGCAAGCGCCCACCAAAGTCCGACGACGTCTCCCCGAGAGGTGCAGCAGCCGGCGCTGCTCCTGCTGCTGCTGCTGCTGCTGCAGCAAGCACTACAGCAGCGGACGAGGACGAGTGTCCTGCTGCTGCTGCGGAGGCGCCCCGCCGGCGGCCGCGAAGCAGCCGCAGCGGCAGCAGCAGCAAAAGCTTCTCAACAGCCGACAGCGAGGGCTCGGAGGGCTCGCGAGACAGCAGCAGCAGCAGCAGCAGCAGCAGAAGCGCGGAGGGCTACCGGTGGCTGGAGGGCGACGCAGAAGGCGCCTACGACTCCGCAGACGAAGCAGACTCCGAAGCAGAACAAGACAGTTTGCTGCCAGCAGCAGCGCAGCGGCAGCGCCTCCCCAGACGCATGAGCTTCTCTTCTTTCAATCTTGCTGCTGGCTGTTTCCCCGCAGAAGCCGAAGTGCAGCACCACATTGTTTCCGCGTGTATGTACACCCCGACGCTGCCAGACACCCAAAGCCTTCTTCGCCTCCTCGACAGGCTTGCCGGCTTCCACAGATTCAGGCAAGGCTGCCCCTGCTGCTGCTGCTGCTGCTGCTGCTTCTGGCGCTGCTGCTGCTGCTGCTGCTGCTGTTGGTTTCGCAGTTGCTGCGTCGCCCGTTCGGGTGTATGTCCAGCAGAGCTCAGGGTTATGCTGGAGCTGGAGTTGCGTTGCGAGTGCATCAGATACTTCTGTTGCAGACTGTTTTCTGATATCCTTTTATTATTTATTTTTAATTTCTTTTTATTGTTTATTTTAATTTCTTTTTACTATTTATTGTTGTTTTCTTCTGAGTTCAGCAGCGTGCCCATCTTGAACGCGCTCTACCCCCGGTGGCAGCAGGTGTCTGTACAGCCCGCGGCCCACCTGCGGCGGCTGCTGCTGCGCGACAGCAAAGAGCTGCACTTGTGTATAGAGTGGGTGATGAGTCAGCCGTGCGACAGCAGCAGGCCTCGCTGGCAGCTGTGGCTGCTGCGCAACGCCGCAGCGCAGCAGCAGCAGCAGCAGCAGCAGCAGGGGGAGGAGGTGTGGGACTCGAGGCAGCACAGGACTGAGGAAGAGCGGCGAGGAGTAGATCTGAGGGATGGGCTCAAAGAGCTGCCGAGACACTGCATCATTCTGCGCGCCGATCACTGCATTGGGGATGGGGTCTCCCTCATTGAAGTTAGCTGCTGCTGCTGCTGCTGCTGCTGCTGCTGAAGTTGCTCCTGCTCACTGCGCAGCTGCCGCTGCCGTTGGTGCTTATTGCTGCTGCTGCGTGGTCCTCTTGCTGCAGTGTTGCTGCAGCGAGCTGGTGTTGCCAATAAGGTGTCGTGCGCGTCTTGCGCAGCGTATTTGCTGCAGCTGCAGCTGGGCCCCTGGTTTATTACTGGCTGCTGCTGCTGCTGCTGCTGCTGCTCTTGCAGGTGGGCCTGCGGCTGCTGACAGACTCCCAGGGAATTCCTCTGAATGAGTGGCCTGACCCTCCGGTTTTGAAAGGTCCTGCAACAGCAGCAGATGAACATTTGTGTCTCTTGCCGACGCCGACGGCTCATTTGCTGCGTTGGGTACGTCCTGAGGTGTACGTACACCCCAAATAGGGGCCTCAGGAATGCATGCAGAGACAGCAAGCTAGGGACGAGGCATTGTGCTGCACTCCTGCTGCGGATGCTCTCCTTGTTTCGAGGGTTTAGGGTTTAGGGTTTAGGGTTTAGTGCTTAGGGTTGCAGGCTAGCTTGCTGCAGGAGTCCACATGCGCCTGCGTGCATGCATTTTGAGCATGCACGTCACAGCCAGTATTTGTGTCTGTAGTCAGGTGTAATGATTAGACAATTAAAATTTTAATTTCTTCATTTGTGGCGTTTAAGTGTTCGCGTTGCTGCTGCTGCTGCTGCAGACGAAGCTGCTGCTGCGGGCCCCGCGACGGCTGGCGAGCGCAGTGTGGGGCTGCGTGCTGCTGCTGCTGGGCTCTTTTCGTGCATTTGCTGCTGCTCTTTTAATTGCGCGAGATGCATGCACTCCGCTGACGGGCACAGCAGCACAAAGAGATAAGCTGCGGTGGGCTGGGCAGCAGCAGGTGAGGCCATTTTGCATTTCATTTCGTTGGCTTTTGTTTTATTCCTTCTCGTTGTCCTTTATTGCCTTTCTTCCTCTTGCCTTTTACCTTTGATAATCTTCTTTTGTTTCATTTTGGCTTTTTTGTTTGTCTGTTTATCTCTTCATCTGCTGCTTGTCTCTGAAGCTGTTCCCCCTCCTCTTTGGCTTCTTTGTCTTCTTTTCGGTTTTTCTCTCTTCAATATTGCAGTCACTTACCAGTAAATGAATTTCAATATTTTCTCCTCTTTGTTTGTTGCTGTTTCGGCTATCTCTTTATCTCCTTTGCACTTTTTCTTCTTCACTTCTGCTGTCTGCAGATTGCTTCCGCTGCTCCCCTGAGTCTGGAGTTTGTAAGGGAAATAAAAAAGGCAGCACGCGCAACCCTCAATGACATTTTCGTTGCGGCTTTCACAGGCGCTGTCAGGCGGTCCGTCCGCTGCTGCTGCTGCTGCTGTTGCTCGTGCTGCTGTTGCTGCGGCGGCTTTCCGTGTGCTCAACGCGCTGCAGCTTCTCGTGCTACTGCTGCTGCTGCGGCGATCTGTGTGCAGCATGCGCTGCGGCTGGTCGTGCTGCTGCTGCTGCTCTGTGCGCGGGCAGGCCGTGATCGTGCTGCAGACGCTGCTGCTGCTGCTGTTGCTGCCTCCGTTTTTCCGCAGGTACTGCGAGCTTCAGGGAGACTTCCAGTTTTCGCAGCCGCCGGCAGCAAATCTGCCAAGGGTGCTGTTGGCGTGTGCCTTCTACAGGTCAGCGGCACCCGCACGCTGACTGCAGGAGCACAGCAGCAGCTGCTGCCATTGCTGCTGTGCAGCTGTCGCTGCAGTGTGTTGCTGCTGCACCTGCATTGGGTCTGCTTCTGCTTTCTTTTGTGGGTGGAGGCTGCTGCGTGCCTACAAGTAATGGCCTCAGCTGGTCATGATGATGTCCTCGTGCATGAGCCGCGCATGCGCTTTGGGGCTTTGAGAAGCCTGCACGCATGCATCGTTGGGACTCCTTTTTGTTGTTCATTTTGTTTTTCAGGCGCACTCGGGAATTGCCAGACTGGTCTCAGTTGCTCCTGCGCAACAGATTTGCTCTGACCTCTTTGGAGCTGCCCGCCGACAGCAGCGACCCGAGGGAAAGGCTTGGTAGAGTCAAAAAGGTGAGGTGCCCGTATGCCTGAAAGTGCTGCCACAGCAGCAGCAGCAGCAGCACTGCCTTGCCGGTTGCTTTCAAAGGAGAGGGTTCGGTCTCCGCTGCTGCTGCTGCTGCTGCTGCTGCGGGAGGCAGCATTGGCTGCTTACACCGTAAGCGGCATGCTTTTCAACCCGCTCCTGCTGCTGCTGCTGCTGCTGCTGGTGCAGGCCACTCTTCGTCTGAAGCGTTGTCGGCAAGCTGCTGCCGACTTTTTAACTCAGCGGGTAGTGGGCCATTTGATGCCGCGGCAGTTTATCTGCAAAGCAGCAGAAGGCCTCTTCAGCAGGCACAGCGTTGTCTTCTCCAACCTGCCCGCTTACACAGTGCGTTGTTGTTGCTTCTCTGTCGTTTTTTAAGTCATTTAATCGAAAAATATTAAAATTCGATGCAGCTCATACTTCCTTTGCTGTCCTGTTGTTTCTATAGATGGCCAGTCTTTTGGCTTGCTTTTAGCTGCTTCGGCTGTTCATCTATCTTTTCCGTTCTTGAATTTTCGTGATTTCAATTATTAATGCCGCTGCTGCAGCGGTACACGGCATGGGCTTGCTGCCCATCGTATCTACTATTACTATCTAATGTATAAATCAAGAAATAATAGTAAGGCGTTTGTCGTCGGTGGGTATCCCCGCACTGAAGATATTCGCAGTTTCGTCTTGCTGTTGTCGCTGCTGCCGCTGCTGCTACTGCTGCAGGCCCCTGTTTACTTCTGCGGCTGTGAGATAACGGAGGTGCAGGTCGTGTACCCGAATTTGATTCCCCAGGTAACAGGCCTCTCGTGGTTTGAGCTGCACGTGGACCGCATTGCTGCACGCTCTTTTCACGGCTTCTGCAGCAGCAACAGCAGCAGCAGCAGTGCATGCGCCGCGTTTTGTGGCTGCAGGTGGAGGTCGTGTCTTACGCTGGTCGTGTCTTTTTCTCAATTGTTTTCGATCCGTCAATTGTTAAAGAGGGACACAAATTACCAAATCTGTTTGTCGAGGTATGTTACTGGTGCTGCTGCTGCTTTTGTTTCAGGTCTGCTTTCGCTTTCGTTTAGCTTGGATTCCGTGTTTGCCTTATTCTGCTGCAGTGGTCTCGCTGTGCTGTTACTATATGCAGGAGCTTTTCCGCCTAGCGGACGCCTTCGGCATAGCCAGGCCCACTCAGCAGCAGCAGCAGCAGCAGCAAGAGAGCTGCGCAAGCTGAGAAAAGGCTGCAGGCTTTAGGTGTATGCGCAGCTAGTGCTGCAGCTTGTCAGGTGCTGTGAATACATATTTGTCCAATATTGAAGGAGCAGATATAATACTAATGAGTATTATCAATATACTGCATAGTTGTGTTGTAGAGACACAGGGAGGGCCCCGCAAAGAGGGAAGGCAGCCTGGTCACACTGCTTGTCTAGGGCCACAGAGGACCCCAAGCGCTTGCATGTTTGTATACATTAACCTATGTATATATGTATACATATAGGCAAGTAGACAAGACACATGCAATTTAATATGTGAATATGTCTGCATATGTATGTATGGAGAGTCTGTATGCACATGCATGAATTTGTACAGCTAGGTCTCGAGAGAGGTTGCTTTTTGCTTTTTGCTTTTTGCATTTTGCGCACATTTGTGTATATTTGTGGATAGTTACACAAAGTTAATCACTTATTTAAATGTGCATGCGTAAATGCATGCATGAATGCGTACGAAAGTACCTAGGTAATTTTTAGCACACAAACACATGTATAAATATACATGTTCACCATATACAAAAAATTAGTCTTTACGCGACATGTGTAGATATATATTACATAATATATAGATGTATAGTACTTGGAAATAAGGATATTTACGTATCTGCGCGTCCTGCGTCCTGCGTTTTTTGCAGGAGCGCTGCTTCTGTGTTCATGCCTTTCGTAATCGTGTATCTGTTTGTTTGATTTAAGGATGGTCGTCTTTTCATGATTTTACTTAGATTGCTAGTTGTAGCTGCAGTAGCAGCAGGTGCTGCTACTGCTGTTGTTGCACTAGCTTAAAAGTTTGGGCTGTATAGGCACCTCCAGGCTCGAGCAACACAGGCGGTTCTCTTGTATGATATCTGTCTTTTGTTTCTGTACCTGTTCGTTCGTTTGCTTTTATTCTTTTGCATTGGTTGATTTGTTTATTTATCGATTGATTTGTTTGTTTGTTTGCTCTTTTTCTTTCACCCGCCGCGGTTGCGCAACAGTCGCACTTACGGCTTTGCAGACCTACTAGGTTTGGTGCTGTGCTTCATTGATATCACGGGGCTCCAGAATTAGAAAAGTAAAGATGTCCTACTCAGAGTAGCAAACAGTAAATAAGTTCCGTCAGTCATGAGCCTATGCATAGTGTGGAAGCTACAATAAAAAGCGTTATGTTAGCTTAGGGGAACCTCAAACACAATGGAAAGCTCCAGCAGGCGTGCGCTACAAGTTACGCTGCAATACACTTTTTAGAGAAACTGTTAGCGCTCTTATTGTGCATCGAGGGAGCAAATGTGCTTTTACTTAGCAAAAGGCGTTGCCGTGGTTTGGACAAGCGCACTTCACTTCTCAGTGCTCAGATGAGGCCAAGTGGGACATGTTAAGCCGAACAAGACAGTATCAACCGAGGAAAGGGAACGGAAGAGCCGACGAACTCAAGAAAAAACAATTTAAATTCGTTTATTGTTCAGTGCCTTGTCTTTCGACAAGCACTGGGGCGGCAGCTTTGAATGCATCGCGGATGCTGAACTTGAACGTGGGTTCAGGAATTGTTCGCGGGCCATCTGCCGCTGCGCTGCAACTGAGGCACAGCTAGCTGACAGCTGTCGAATGGCTAGCTAGTTACCAACCAGCAGCGGTCTTGCAGGACACTATTTAGGAGCGAGCCTCTAAATGGCGGGGGTTCAAAAGTTGGCAACTAGCTGGTTGCATCGCTATACTATAGCCCCAGTACGAACTGACTTTTGAAACCAACAGGGAATAGTTTAGTTTTGCTGTGCACAAGGTGCAGCTATTCTTATCACTACAGGTTTAGGCGCATGGGGGGAGCACAGAGTATATATATATATATATATATATATATATATATATATATATATATATATGTATATATATATATTAGTGCTTTGCGCGAAGCATATATCTACATTCTGTCCCTATGTACATCATCAGTAAGTGCACGTCTTAACTGCATTACATGCATGAGCACTTTTTTAACTCAGCACACAAACTTACACGAAATGAAGACTAGGAAAAATCCAAGTAAAGTGTAGTAGCGGCGTACGATAGCCGACTGCGCGTAACTATTCCTCCGTATTAGTGCCTTTGAATGCAGTTGCTGAGTAGAACTCATGAACAGCCACCAAGAGGGCCACTTCTGCGTTTAGTCTACTTCCACAATTGTTTTGGCACAATCCACAGTTATTTTAGTTCGTCAATGCAATTCATTATTTCTTACTCCATGCCGGTTTTCCTAAGGGGACCGAATTGACCAAAAGTATCACCTTATTGTCTTGGGATCCAGGCCTGCTCCTGGTCATCCGTCTAACGGCCTCTACACTCGTTTTATCTTTTCTTCTGAAATTTTCGAAAGCAATGCATAAGAGCATTAGCTGTGTATTGGCTGTATGAGTAGATACATACATGCATGCACTTCTATCTGTGTTGAGCATCATGCGTATGTTTGAAAATCAAGATGTATTTAATTATGTGTGCCTGCAAATACAATAGTTGCAAGCGTGCATTTTAGGCGGGGACCTACGCCCAGTATATACGTCTAGGCGCGTTTTGACACGTATTTTGTACATCAGTACATGACTGGAATTAGAAATTTGCGCTCTGTTGCCTATTCTTTTTCTCCCAAAGGCGAAGAATTGCGTAACTCTGCTAAGCCCACTGAAGTATTGCAGTACACATATTAGATAACCAATCCGTTTATTCGTAGTTAAGTTGCTTTCCGGGTCAACGAGCTTAGTCGATTCTGCCAGTTAATCTCGATGGTAGGCGCCAAGCCCTCCGCGCTACAAGTCCCGCTGCTTCTGGTGCTACTTCTGCTGCTCCATGTGCCGCTGCTGCCTATTTTCATTGCTGGTGTCAGCTGTCGACCCCTGTCAAAGTTCAAATTTAGCATTTATTATGTGTCATTCTTTATCAGCGAATAAATTAAGAGTGAGGCCTTCTGCTCATTTTGTTTTGGGATCCGTTGGCGCAGCACGATTGGCTAGTGGTGGTTGAGGACCTCAAACAGCGCTGTTGGGCTTTCATTCTCTGCCGCTTCAAGGAAACGTGGAAATGAGCTGTACAAACATCGTTCCCGTTATTTAAATAGGTAGATGAAGCGGTATACTAACATCCAGCCACCATATTTGAGGCCCTCGCACACCGTATGGCGTCCTATCACACAGACTGGGCGTTTTCAATTAAGTGAGGATACTATGGTCCATGGTTTGGGATGTACGGTTTTGCACTTAATTTGGTGTTGAGCTTGCAGCTTACGTGCGTGGGGCAGGGGGAAGGGGCCGCGCGTTGCTCTTGGTCCTCTTGAATAGCTGGCTGGGCCCACAAATGCATAACAAATTAGTGAATAAATGGGAAAAATTTTTAATAGCGCTAAGCACACCGCAAATTACTTATCAATGGCAGCAACGAACAGCACCTGTGCCGGAACATTAGGCCTGCTGGGGAACTCATCCTTGATTGGTGAGAGGCGCTGCGTCTCTGCTATCTGTAGCTTAATAACAAAAAATTATATTACAAATCAAAACAAATAAATTAATTAGGGCTAAAAAGGCGAATTTAGTGCTGTGAAGCAACAACAGCTCAGCGAAGGATGAGGGTGCGGTCTGCCCCTAGGTTAAGATTGAGCTGCATGGCGCCGACAGGGCTCAAAGCGCATCTAATACCTTGTAAACTGACTAAAAACTTCATTTCTGTTTCTATTCTGATTTATTTTATTAGAAACAATTAAAAACGCTAAAAAAAGCAAGCAAAAAAATGCTGCAGCAGCCCCCAAGCCCGACCGGGGTAGCCTGGCAGAGCACAAGGGCAGCGCCGTCTCACCGCCTGTCGGCGTCCCCCTGCGGACTGCTGGTTGTGGCGTATGTGCCTGTTTGTGTGTCTGATATATGTTCAGGGGTTTATTACTCTTGATTTAAATAAATTGTGGTATTTATTTGGCCTTTCCGCCTCAAGCATCGCAGCCAGGCGACCCCAGCGCGCGTCCTCACGTCCTCTACACAATGGGGGTAGGGTTTCGCGGGGCGGCGGTGTTGCCGTTTTGTTTTTTTCTTCTTTCTCTCATTTCGCACTATCCCCATGCTGTGAGAGGTGATGACACTGAGGGTGACGGAAAAGGTGAGCTAGGGTTGCTTGGGTCCCTTTGTTTTATCCTCGTGAGCTCTTTGTCTCGGGGGCTCCTCCATGAATTCGTTCGTCTTGACGATTTTTCGCCATCATCTGCCGCCGCCTACTCTAGTTTACGGCTAGTTTGAGCTTCAGTTGGCAATATTATCTCCCTCAGACCTGTAGAGAGTTCCCGTTGGTGTTCTCCAGTTGACGCTCATGGCGGCCTTGGGCTGAGGCGGGCGGGGTGCCCAGCATAGCGTTTTCTATGTCGTTTCATACAAACTGTTTCTTTATTTGAGGAACGGGGTGTAGAAAGCGAGGACGCGCTTCATTTGAAGTGTCTTTGCGCGTTCGGGGCCTCCCCGCCGTGTGTGTGTGCTGTGGGGACACTAGTTGGTGCTTCTATAGTGCTTGCTTGCCACTGTTTTGACGTTCGTGAACAGCGGCTGCTTTTGTTGCTGCATCTGATTTTTTGCAGTGAAGGATGTGGTGATCGGCATTGACCTGGGTACCACGTACTCTTGCGTCGGAGTGTACCGACAGGGCCGCGTGGACATCATTCCCAATGACCAGGGCAACCGTATTACTCCCAGCTACGTCTCTTTCGCTGAAGATGAGCGCAAGATTGGCGAGGCTGCCAAGAATGAGGCTGCTATCAACCCAACGAACACTATCTTCGACGTCAAGAGGCTCATTGGGCGCCGCTTCAACGAGAAGGAAGTGCAGCGCGACAAGGAGCTGCTGCCGTACGAAATTATCAACAAGGATGGAAAGCCATACATTCGCGTCATGGTCAAGGGCCAGCCCAAGGAGCTCGCCCCTGAAGAGGTCTCAGCTATGGTTCTGGGAAAGATGAAGGAAGTTGCAGAGAGCTACTTGGGCAAAGAAGTCAAGAACGCCGTGGTCACCGTCCCAGCCTACTTCAACGATGCCCAGCGCCAGGCCACTAAGGACGCTGGCGCCATCGCTGGCCTCAACGTCATCCGTATCATCAACGAGCCCACCGCCGCAGCCATTGCCTACGGTCTGGACAAGAAGGACGAGAAGACCATTCTGGTGTACGATCTTGGTGGTGGTACCTTCGATGTCTCAGTGCTGGTCATCGACAACGGCGTCTTCGAGGTCCACGCCACTTCCGGTAGGTTTTTATCGAATTCCTGTAGCCCTCAGAGTGGCTGGGGAGTTGCCATTGGTCTATGTTCAATCAAAGACACAGTTGAGACTCAAGAGGAATTCTGTGGTGGTGCTTGATGGACGTGCAGGTGACACTCACTTGGGTGGTGAGGACTTCGACCAGAGAGTCATGGACCACTTCCTGAAGATCATTCAGAAGAAGTACAACAAGGACCTGCGGAAGGACAAGAGCGCCCTCCAGCGCCTCCGCAGAGAAGTTGAACGTGCAAAGAGAGCTCTTTCCTCATCCCATCAGGTACGTCAAGCCACTCAAAGGTCTGGGTTGGCAGGCACGCACAAGCAGGCTGGCGAAGCTGAGAGTTGGCCCATTTCCAGTTAAAGACTCATTAGGAGCCGTTGGGGTATGGAGTTTGTTAAGATATTGCACGGCTTTGCTTGTTTAGGAATAGCCACCCTGTAGTGCCGGCCGCTGCTGGGTCGGAAGTGTAGCTGCAGCGCTCAGTGGCTGTTTCTCTATAGGTTACCGTGGAAGTTGAGGGTCTTGTTGACGGTGAGGACTTCTCTGAGACGCTGACTCGCGCCAAGTTCGAGGAGCTGAACGCCGACCTCTTCCAGAAGACTCTGAAGCCGGTGAAGCAGGTGCTGGAGGACGCAGACTTGAAGAAGTCACAGATCGACGAAATTGTGCTGGTCGGTGGCTCCACTCGTATCCCGAAGATTCAGCAGCTCATCAAGGAGTTCTTCAACGGCAAGGAACCCAACAGAGGCATCAACCCCGACGAAGCCGTCGCCTACGGTGCAGCTGTCCAGGCCGGTATTCTCTCAGGGGAGGGCACCCAGGACATGGTGCTGCTCGATGTCACCCCCCTGACTCTCGGTATTGAAACCGCTGGAGGCGTCATGGCTAAGGTCATCAACAAGAATACTGTCATCCCCACGAAGAAGACTCAAACCTTCTCGACCTACTCTGACAACCAATCCGCTGTGCTCATTCAGGTAGGGACTGAGTGAGGTGCTGTTGCCTTGTGCATGTATGTTTCTGGGTCCGATGTTCTTTTTCGGAACCAGCCCTCCATGTTTGCCAGTGTTCCCGATATGCCGGCTTGGCTGCGCTTCATAAAATGTTTGAGGCTGCGGCTGTGTGTTGCAGTCCTCAATTAAGTGTGGCTATTTGTATATGCTTGTGACTACAGGTGTACGAGGGTGAGCGGCCAATGACGAAGAACAACCACTTGCTGGGCAAGTTCGAGCTGACTGGCATCCCGCCTGCTCCACGGGGCGTTCCGCAGATCGATGTGACATTCGACGTGGACAGGAATGGTATTTTGAACGTCAGCGCTGTTGACAAGGGCACGGGCAAGAGCGAGAAGATCACCATCACAAATGACAAGGGCCGGCTGACTCCTGATGAGATTGAGCGCATGATCCAGGAAGCTGAGCGTTTCGCTGACGAAGACCGGAAGACCAAGGAGCGCGTCGACGCCCGCAACGCCCTTGAGGGCTACCTGCACAGCATGCGGTCTACGGTTGAGGACAAGGACAAGCTAGCGGACAAGATTGAAGACGATGACAAGAAGACCATCATGGACAAGATCACCGAGGCGAACGAATGGCTCGTCGCAAACCCTGAGGCAGACGGCGAGGAGCTCAGAGACAAGCTCAAGGATGTTGAGAGCGTTTGCAACCCCATCATCTCCAAAGTTTACGGCCAGACTGGGGGCCCCTCTGACTCGGGTGCGACCTCCACTTCTGATGATGACTACAGCAGCCACGACGAGCTCTAAAAAGCGGACCAGCTTTGCCGCCACCAACTGCAGCACCGGCTGCTGCTGCTGCGGCGGACGGTATGTGTAGCAGCGGTGACGGCGTGGAACTTAGCGGCAGACGATGAGTTTGTCGTGGTAATTACAATAGTTTTAAGTGCCACATATTTGGGGGCGTTGTTGGGGCCCCTTCGGGGGCCCTTTGGGTTATTACCTGGGCTTCTGGTGTCCTCAACACTTGTGTGAGGCCTTGAGGCCGGGGGCTTCCCGCAGTCGGCATTGGGCCTCCCAGGGTACCCGCAATTTACCGAGTTCGCGCTGCGGGAACTGGGGGCACCTGGGCGGGGTGGCGTTGTTGATTGAACATCTCGGAGGGTTTTTAAACAGCAGTTTCTCTTAGTGGCTTTGCAAAGTAGGTAGCGGTTGGGATATAGGTCATCAAGGGGAGAATTGACCACTAATGTGTGGCCAGTATATCCAGATGCTGCAGCCAGTGCTACCGTAGTTAGTTGTAGAAGGTAGGCGGGATGAAAGCTACGGGCAACTGGGGGTGAGGCGAGCTGGTCGAGCATTGCACTGGAGGATCACAACGATAACTTTGTTGGTTTTGAAGTATATAGTTGGCAGGGTGATAAATGCCAATATAAAACAAAATTGTGGGTTAGTGTGGAAGTGAACTGCAGGAGCAGCGTTTGCTGCAGCTGCGAGATTAGCTGTAACGGCATTGTGCTGCCGCTCCTAATTACCGACGTCCGAGTGAGACTGGGAGGGGCGCGGAGCCAGTATACCTGTACAAGGGAGGGGCTGTTACATTCACACCCGTTAGGCTGCGCCATTCTTTTGGGCGCAGCCATTAAAGGTCCCCCTCTGGAAAACCGAACAACTCTTTGAGGTGCACTTGGCAACGCCTTTCAACTGAAGGGGGCCCATCCGAAGGGGACCCTTAACAATTTCAGTGGATCCAGCTTCAGTAGCTGAGGTGTATGTTCACTATGCTTTATGACAGCCTGCTGGGTGCCTGAGGGCTGTGGCGGCTCCCTTGTGACCAGTACAGGATATAAACGGCTTGACGCACATAGGCTTAGCGTGCACTGTATACATGTGCTAGCACATGCATATCATGTACACTTGCTTCCATAAAGCTGACAGACGATGCGGAATGGGGAGAGAGCGAACCTCCAGCATAGATACGAAGGGAATGGTTTAAGTATTCAGTGACTGCGCTTAGCTTACTATGTAGGTGATATGTGGTTATATGCATTCATGGTTCTTTCTACAATATCACTTCCGTCTCCAAACATAGCAGCCACCCAGTGCTTGCCCCCTTTGGAGCTTACGCAATTCTTCTCACTCTGCGTCGCCTTCCTGCCTTGGCTGCAGTTTCTGTTGTTGCCATTGCTCCTGTCGTTGTTGCTGCTGGCGCTGGAGCTTCTACTGCCGTATCAGTCGTTTCGCTGATGCTTTCTTCACTGTTGCTTAGCTCTTGCTGCTGCTGCTGCTGTTCATCTTCTTTTGCAGTTGTGCTGCTCGGCTGCTTGAGCGCGCACAGGGCAAATGCAGCTGAACTATGGCGCACCACCGCCGTCTTCTTTCCCCACAGTTTCTCAACTTCCAGGGCTGGCGGTAGCACGTAGGTCTTAAGCCCACAGTAGCGATATCCCGCAGAGCAAGCGTTGAAGCCGGCTCGCACCAGCGGCATTAAGGTGTGCAGCTCCAGAGCAAACCCTGCAGCACGAGGCATGGCTGTTTGCAGTGGGTTGTGAGCTCAATGCAGTACAGTGGCGTGCTGGATAATGAGTTGTGGCATGATGTACTGCGGTGTCAACAAGCATAACGTTTGATACATGTAATGCAGTGTAGAAGTGAGACATCCTGCAAATCAGCTCCTGTTGCAATCCCCAAAAAATGGAAATAGCAAATAGATAATGAAGGCTAACAAGTGGGCGAAGTAAAATACAGAACACTACAACGGACACGTACCGGCAACATTGGAGCCGTTTGCTCCACAGTCTGCGGCGGCCGTTTTAGCAGGATCAACAGTTTGGCTGGAGCCCACAACGCCCGCATTGGAGGCCACGAACATATTTTGCAGACCTGCGGAACGAGACCACACAAACTCTGAGTTAGCGCTGAAACCTATGGTCTTCACTCTGAACGCTAGAACGTAGTGCTTAGGAAGCCTGAAAGAGAAGCATCCCAAACTCTTTGCCGGAACCCCAGCTCTGAGTATATCCATGCTTAATAGAAGAAACTCAATAGAAAACTGTGCGCCCGTGAGGCTTCCGAAGACAATTACCTGGCAGCTCGCGATCCACACAGGCTGCATAAAACAAATGGTGAGACTGAGTCTGTTCAGGCACGGACCCCACGTCCTGATAGTGGCATTCCTTAGCACCTGCAGCCCAGCTTCACATCAGGTGAGCTTAGCATTTAACTCGAAAACCCCTAGCCCACACCCTGAATAGGAGGCTGTACACTGAATATCACTACGGCTATTACTACAGCTAAGCTGGACGTGCTTAATTAGCCTCCCGCTGCCGTAAGTTTGACTATAATGAGGCATTTTGTGAGGTGTGGAGCCGGTGTTACCTGGAGAGCAGTGAACCACGCTGACGCTGGCTAAGCCTGCTTTGTCATACATGAAGGTTAGCTGCAGGCCAAACAAAACCTCTTTGCCTTGGCTGCACCCCACGGCAGTCTCAGGCTGCAGCAAACACATCAAACCCAAAATTCTGAATATTCTGAATCCTATAGTGCGGGCTTCCTAGTTATGGAATAAAACGGAGAAACCGTGCTGAGCGGTGAGCGCTGAATCCCTACAACCAGCTTTTAGTCTGCGGCGCTGTGCACCCAACATCAAGTACACAAGTTGAACCAGTGTAAAAGAACCACCCGTTTGCTGTAAACGCTAAATGTTAAGGTCTCATATCTTAAGACCCTACAAAGTACCAAATATGAAGCGTGCATGCAAAGCAAGGAAGGGCATGACATTTTTTCCACTCTAAGCATTCTGCTGGTCTGCTTCCGTTTGGCTGTTCAATTTTCGCAAGATGCCGTGGCGCGCAACGTTTCAACATTAAGTGTAACAACTGGATTTTCCGCTTCAAAGTAGTTTGTGTCAGTATAGAGTAACAGCAATGACTTTACTGCACAAACATAGGCTGAGCTTGAGCTGGAAGAAAATATGGCCTGACAGGCTAATTGACGCTTACGAGGGGATCTACAACGCTGTAGGTTTCCAAAGAGGTAATAGGCTTGTCGCCGCAGACAGCCCAAATTCGCGCTTCGCCACTGGTGGTATTGGTACCTTCGCAACGGTGGCTGCACATAAAGACAGATCCCTATCCCTTGCAAGAATGCGCAGATTATCATCTGAATTGAGGGCTCTAGAGTTTACGGTCAAGGGTGTGGAGTCTCTGCACAGCCTACACTGTGCAACAATAAGGGCATCTGGGATGCTAAAGCCTGCCAAAAGGCGTCCGCCTCCTTTACCTTGAGTCGAGATACCTCAAAATGGGCTGAAGCTGGCGCAAAACTGAGTGAAAGAAGCGAAACCAAAATTAATCGAAGCAAACACAAGTTAGGAGCAAATTAGCCAAATAATAATGGTCTTACCTGCCATTCTGGCAGCTCTTGATAGCCAACGGGGGCCCATTAACATCCATGCTTAGTTGAGCAGCAAACCCGAAGAGGATCTTCTTGCCCTTCGGGCAATCAACGAATCCGGGAGCAGGTCCAGCCCACACAACAACGGAGCTGCTGCGCAGCTGAGGTGTAAAAGAGCACAATACCCATATCCCCAAACCTTGTGTACTCACGCCATTTGCTGCAGCCCCTTACTATTGCACAGCTAGGCACCTTGAAGTCAGGCACAGCTAAATGCACTCGTATGCTGCCTAGATTCGGAAACTACCTGTGCCAAAGGCCAGCTGGCCACGCTTTAGCTGAGGGATTTTTGCGCAACGGCTAGACATCGTGTAAATGCTACAAACTGCACTTTTTAAGAGCGAGGTAGCTGTGTTGTACGGACTGCCTAGCTTCCTGCTCTTACAATCCAATTAGCTGCTTCTGCACTGATGTGGGTTTGCAACGCTGCTATCAAATGGGTATAATTGGGTTCACGCGACAGCAAGCCATCCTGGCAGCGCAGCTAGCTGTCAGTGCGTACTCACAACGTCTGTGATTGCCTCCGAGGATCCCGTTAGTAGATCGAGATCGTCTTTATTGTACCCGAAGGCCTGAGAGTAGAAGGAGCTGGCGCTGCGGTAGGCCGCATGAAGGTGCTCAGGCAAAAGACGAGTGAGTGGCTGCAGTTGGTACTGCACCTGTAAAAATGACAGGAACACAAAAGAAGGTCTAAACAAGTATATATACCTAACGCTGTATGAGCCTGTCTGTGGTTGTGGGCGCATAGAAAAAGCAATGCGTGAGTGCGAGCAGAAAATACGATCGAACGCATGCTTTTTCAACTGCGCCGCTTGAGCCGCCAATCAACCCGTGCCTCCAGGCCTCCACTGGTTTTTTCCGAGAAAAGTGTGTAATGCATGTCTGTATGCGTGAACGTGTGCGTACATGCGTGCATGTTGCATGCTTTGCTGCTTGCGTGCATGCAAAAATGCATGCGTGCATGCATTTTTGCATGCAAGCAGGCATCAACGCATAAATGCGTATGCGCATGTATTTCCGCATGCATGTGCACTTTCATTCCCGTACGCACTACGAGCGTTTTCTCATGACTGTCTGCATGGATTTGCACAAAGGCATTGCTGGCTTACCGGCATCGGCAGGGCGGCCACAGATTTTTCCCACTGTGAAAGCTCTAGAGGGTTTGAGGGGTCTTTGGGGGGCCTGCCCCCAACGACAAAAGTCGATGTTGTAACCCCAAACGAATTGCCTGCATCGTTTTGTAAGGAAGCTTTGTTGCTGGATCCGTCAAAACTGTAGGTGAGCACACACCGTAACAGAGGATATCATACGATTCGTGCACATTCTGCAGTGGTAGAGGTGGCTGTCGTGAGGCGCAGTTCGCTCAATTTCAAAAGCTGTAGGTCTGAGCCCTTCTTATTCCCATCGCTCACGAAAATAATTTAGAAACGGCAACTTCAGCTAAGCCATTGCCTCTTTTAGTTTTGTTAAGAAGGTCCTGCGCGTGCTCTTTCAGGACGCGGATCTGCTTTGTTATCTTTCCCCCTGCAGCCATTAAGCAGGAGGAGCAAGCGAGCAGTGACAGCCATAGCTCTGTGATGACGGAATAATCTAGATGCTTCTAATTCGGTGAAGCTACAAGCTTGTAGCCTAAGAGGCCATCATCTCCCCACCACATTCAGCACTGGTCTGGCTGGGGTTTCTAAAAGAAGCAATGTGAAGAGCATTGCAGAGCCGATCCCGACGTGCACCCTTGCGTAGCGTTGCAAGACCCACACACTAAGCCCTTAACAAAACAACTGCAACTCTTAACACTGAGCAGTAAGCCCTGGACCACAAAGCCACTAGCTCTTGGCCTTACCGAGCTTAATGTTGGTGGTAACATGTGTACCGAAGTCTGAGAAGAATTCCATCCACTGCACGATTGAGGCGTCTGTACATCCTGCGGCTTGTGCATTACTTTTGAATATCTGTGGGGTGCATTTGCTGCCTTCTGGTGTACTCGGGAAACTGCTGGGGAGCTTTTCAACTGCCTTGTTGAAAGCTTCTGTGGTTGTGCTGCAGCAACAGCAGCACAGCAGCGGCAGCAGCAGCAGCCACGGTGTCCGCAGGCCCACCAACCCACTTTTTCTGGAGCCACAGTCATAGCCAGTGGTTCAGCAGCAGTTGCTACCCCAGGGGTCAGTAGTCCCACGCCACCTTTAGCACCCCTAAAACTCTCCTTTAGCGCTTCCTGTTGCTGCCGCCATCACCGAATTCATAAAAGCGCTACAAACGAAAGCAGGAATGGGTAAGTAAAGTTGCATTGCTGCAGCTCGAGCTACCTGCTGGCTAGGCCAATGGCTGCGAAGCCTGCCTCATATCTTATGCAGTAGGCCCGCATCATAAATGTTTTGTTCTGCTTCCGTAGGGACTCGTCGGCTATCTTGCGAAAGTTGAGGCTGCCGCTGAAGGGCAAATAGGGAAGCACTCCGTCCACTTGGGCGTCTGCCGTCAAATCCGTCACATAGTCTTTCAGGCTCTCTATCTCCTCTATCTAGGACAACAACAAACCGCAACCAACAAACACACGCTTTTTGATCGACGAAGAAAATGCACCAGGCTGCGCTGAGGAGAGTCGGAACAAGCAAACGCCGCCGAAATGCCGCATGCTGAAAGTATACGCGCTAACCAATGAGCCCTGAGCTTCTAACTCTATAAGCTGTGCCTGGGCCGTGGACTCAAATATCACACTCCATGCCCTTGGCGCTGAGCGCGAAATTCTAGATTCTCAATCCAAGAGCCTCACCGTTTCAGCGGACTGGCAGGAGACGTAGGGCCGTATATATCCTCCCTTGGGCTGCAGAGTAGTTAGGTCGGCGGAGACTCCCTCTTTGTCGTGACCCCAGTCAAAAGCTATCACAGGAGCCCTGAAGCCAGGGTCACCTGGAGTGCGGTCGTCTCCCAGGGGGTTTCCAAAGACCAAGTTGTAGCCAGAGCCCAGGAAACCTGAGAATGGCAGCAGCTACAGGGGTCCCTTTCTTTGCTCGGGCTGTCTGCTGTGTTACCTCGTAGTTAGTATAATTTCGTACAGCATGTTATCCCTTTGTGCTGCTCTCACATGTATTGGCTCATCTGCGCATATATCTGCAGTTGTAGATACAGTTCTATGCACGCGTGGTCATGTGCATTATGCTTGTATGTACATATGCATATATATATATATACATAGATAAGTATGCAAATAAGGGGCGTCTCAGTTTCCTTTTTCTCGAAGAAGCATGTATCCACTGCCCTGTACACTTCAATATAGCTGCTGCTGCTGCGTCTGCCTAAAAGTGGCTCATCTGCGGCGTGCATATTGCACTGTCTTCCGAGTATGCTTTAGACCCAAGCACAGGCAACCCCATTATCACACTATATATAAAGCATGCGGGAACTGCTCAACGCCATCGCAAGATCTGTTGCTGCATTTTGTGCTGCTTGCCGATCCCAGGTATGGTGTCTACTGCTTGAGCGTATATGTCTTCGTCGTTCTGTATAGACAGCCGAGGTCGGTGCACGGGGGCTTCTGAGGCAGATTCGACCTTTTTGGAAATCCACGCTGCACAAAAGAAAGACAACATACTGCTTATTTATCATGCACCAAGGAATTCGCGTTTGCCGGTTCGTACGCAGTCACATAGAAACCACAAAGCCCGCAAAGGTATAAGTGAAGCTAAATGAAAGCACTCAAAACAAGAAAAACAGAATGATGGGGGAAAATTCCTAATCAACCAGGCATACGCATAAGTTAGGGAGGCTCAAGAATGACCTACATCTGTCGGTGCCCATATTCTCGAAATCCGTTGTGAGCGTTTGCTCCTTGCGAGTCCCGTACTGCTGCTGAGTGGTCTTCAGCGCAACAACAACTTAACAGCAAGATCAAAATTATAAACAGAGCGCATGTCTTCTTACCTATCTATCTATTGTTATGTGTGCTGTTGCCTCAATAATAAAGAGGTTAAAATGACAAAAGCCATGATGGACCAGTGCATCACTGAAATGCGAAGTGGTGAGAGTTGCGGTGATAACGCAGCGGTGATTATGATAGTTGCACCTAAAATGTAGTGATAATCACTCCAAGCATTTGTAGTGAACACATCGTAAACGGATCAGTATATAAGTGCATACATATTCATTAATCTGCAAAAATGCATGTGCATATTTATTTATCTGCAAAAAAAATGTGTAGATGCATAAAGGATATTCGCACATGCATGCAAAGCATGCGCACTCAGCCGTTAACCTTATACAAGCTCAGTCTCTTGCCCAGTCAGCGTAAGTGTGTGCAATGCCACTTCAAATTTAACGGTGCACGCCTAGTGTGCCATGGCATAGGTCTCTGCTTGAAACAGAGAACACGTATCTCTCACAAGACTGCGTATATACGTTCATATATATATATATATATATATATATATATACGCGTATGTGTATGCATATGTGCACATCCGTCTTTGTAAGTATGTATCTCTGTATAAATGCACAAACGTATCATATATATATATGCATATATATATATATATGCATTCAGATGCCCAGATACGAAAATAGAGGAAAAGTCGCCGCCAATACTTTTGCAAATGCATTCTCGTTTAGATATTTGGATTTGAACGCAAATAAAACAATCATGCATTTGTAGACGCAGCTAAACTTATATATCCTGGGGTATGCCTATGTATAGATTTGCAGCTATGTATATACGTATAAATATGCAGCACTATGTATTGCAGTCTTACCCGGTCTGGGCGTTTGCTGGCACTGTACGATTTGCGCGAGAGTGCTGGTCTGCTCGTGTGTGAGTGCTTCATTATCTCTTCTTCCTCATAACCAATTTGTTTTCTGCTCGGCTCTGAGCTGTAAGTGTCATCCTCGTCGTCCGAGTCCTCAAAGAAGAAGGATGGCTGGGTAGACAGCTCGTCTACTGGTTCGTTAGTTGTCTTGGTCGCTGTCTCGCTAGCCTGCTCGCCAGTTGGTAGGCTCTCTCTCTCCCAAGCTCGTTTCTCAGCTGTCTCTGTAGCTGGCTTGCTCGCTGTGTCGGCAGCTGCTTCGCTATCTAAATCGCTAGCTGATTCGCTTGCAGAGTCATTCCGTGGCGCACTAGCTGCCTCTCTAGCTGCCTCGCTCGCTGGCTCACTGTCTGAGTGGCTAGCCATCTGGCTGGACAGCTCACTACCTGGCCCTATGTCTGGCTCGCTGGTCAAGTCGCCTGCTGGTTCACTAGCTGGATCAAGTGTGGGCTCTTCATCTACTTCAGAGGCTGCCTCGCTGGCCGGAAAGCTAGATGCTTCACTAGCGGGGTCGACTGCCGGCTTGCTGGCTAGGTCCCCAGGTAGTTCAGTAGCTGACTCGGAAGTTGGCTCGCTGGCTGGCTCGTCAGCCGACTCGCTGGCGGGTTCACTAGCTGGCTCGCTGGCTGGTTGACTAGGTGACTCGCTAGCCGTCTCGCTGGGTGGCTCGCTAGTTGGTTCTTTAGCTGGCTCGCTGGGTGGTTGGCTGAGTGACTCCCAAGCTGACTCGCTGGCTGGCTCGCTGGGTGAGTCGCTAGCTGCCGCGCTGGGAGATTGGCTGGGTAACTCAGCAGCTAACTCGCTGGGTGGCTCGCCAGTTGGTTTTCCAGCTGGTTCGCTAGTTGGCTCGCTTGCTGATTCGGTCGGTTGTTGACTAGGTGACTCGCCAGCTGGCTCGCTCGGTGGCTCGCTAGTTGGTTCGCTAGCTGGCTCGCTAGTTGGTTCGCTAGCTGCCTCGCTGGGTGGCTGGCTAGGTGACTCGCCAGCTGGCTCGCTCGGTGGCTCGCTAGTTGATTCGCTAGGTGGCTCGCTAGTTGGTTCGCTAGCTGGCTCACTGGGTGTTTGGCTAGGCGACTCACTAACTGGCTCTCTGGGTGGCTCGCTAGTTGGTTCGCTAGCTGGCTCGCTAGTTGGTTCGCTAGCTGGCTCGCTAGTTGGTTCGCCAGCTGGCTCGGTGGGTGTTTGGCTAGGTGACTCGCTAGTTGATTCGCTAGCTGGCTCGCTAGTTGGTTCGCTAGCTGCCTCGCTGGGTGTTTGGCTAGGCGACTCGCTAACTGGCTCTCTGGGTGGCTCGCTAGTTGGTTCGCTAGCTGGCTCGCTAGTTGGTTCGCTAGCTGGCTCGCTAGTTGGTTCGCCAGCTGGCTCGGTGGGTGTTTGGCTAGGCGACTCGCTAGTTGATTCGCTAGCTGGCTCGCTAGTTGGTTCGCTAGCTGCCTCGCTGGGTGTTTTGCTAGGCGACTCGCTGACTGGCTCGCTGGGTGATTCGCTAGTTGGTTCGCTAGGTGGCTCGCTAGTTGGTTCGCTAGTTGGTTCGCTAGCTGGCTCGCTAGTTTGTTCGCTAGCTGGCTCGCTAGTCGGCTCGCTAGCTGGTTCGATAGCTGGCTTGCTGGGTGTTTGGCTAGTTGGTTCGCTAGCTAGCTCGGTGGCTGGCTCGCTAGCAGGTTCGCTAGCCGGTTCGCTGGCGTATTGGCTGTCTGGCTCCCTAGCTGGTTCGCTGGGTGTCTCACTGAATGGTTCGCTGGCGGTTTCGCTGGCTGGCTCGCTAGCTGGCTCCCCAACTAGATCGCTAGCTGGAAAGTCGACTGATTCGCTAGCTGGATCTTTGTCTTGTTCGCTAGCTGGTCGGCTATCTGGCTGGCTATCTGATTGGCTATCTGGGTGACCTTCTGGCTGGTCATCTGGCTCATTGGCTGGCTCGTCTGCTGAACTGCTGATGGGGTCACTAGCTGTGTTGTTGGCTAGTTCTTCATCTGTGTGGCTAGTTGGTCTTCTGCCTCTGTGGATGGCGAGCAGGCCAGCTGGCGGCGTATTTCTGTGGCTAGCTGGGTGGCTAGCTGGGCGAGCTGGCCTTGACCGCTGTCCCTCCACGGCCCAGCCGTGCTCCGCTGTCCATCCTTCTGAGTCTCTGGTGGCTCTTTCTACTGATGGGAGGTCTTCTGTGGGCTCTCTCGTGGTTGGGAGGTCCTTGCTAGGGGTGTCGTGGGCTGGGGGCTCCTGCTGAGGCTCAGGGCCGTTGGGCTGGCGGTCCCCGTGACTCCCTATGGGTGGGTGAAGGCCATGGGCCAGGGGCTGATGGGAGTTAGTAAGGCGGATCGCGTAGGAAACGGGGACTTGGTGGAGGCAGAAGAGAGCAGCAGCAGCAGTAGCTGCTGCTGCTGCCGCTGCGCGTCCGAGGGACGGCATGGGATGGGACAGCAGTGGGCAGCTGGAGAGAAAAGCTACAGCTACCTATACACTTGGCTAACAATGAGTTGTATTTAAAAAAAACTGAAAGAAAAGACTGAAAGGGGTTCTCACTTTCAAAGATTTCGTTGCGTTGCTGGTGCTGCAACTGGGAGGATGAGGGACGGTGACCAGCCACTGTGGCTGCTGGGCATCTCAGTGCCAAAATCTTTCTTATTTGATTCTGATGATAAGACGCTGATAATCTCGGTTTAACTAGCTCAGGTGTAGCTGGGGCCGCTAGCTGCAGCAGGAGACCCTGGGGCAGCTGTTGTGGGCGGGCTTCGATCACGCCAGTAGGCCCCACAGATCTAGCTGGTGCTTGGCCTCCCCTTAAGCGTAAAGAGCGGACTTGAGGTCATAGAACATAAAGTGTGGCAACAATTGTGCTTTAATTGATTTTATCAACTCAACGTTTTCTAACACCATGCATAGACGCCGGGAAACGGCGCGCTTCCGCGCACTTTCAACTGCGATGGGCTGTCGAGCCCGCGGACCATAGCACTGTAACCACCCTGAAAAGGGTTTTCATGTTCTTTAAAACTCTTTTCTGAATTAATTAAAATATTTTGCTTGTGTAAATATGCTATTTGACTTTATTTACCTCTAGTTTGGGCATGAATAGGCTCCTGAGTGAAAAGGGGTGGCCAGTGTAATCTCTAGACAGTGTCCCACACAGGCCGCACAGACCGCCACCCTTTCGTGTGTGTGTGCCGTGTCTAGGTAAATGTTTATTTTTCATTGCCAGGATGTGTGCCTGAAATTTAAAACAACTTTTTTTGTTCAAAGGGGAATAAAACAGCCAAGCAAACGCATTACCTCATGCGCTGAAGTGCATGAGCTTGATACACCGGCACAGTTCCACTTCTGCGTGACGTGGCCATTGCCACTCGCAGTCTGCACAAAACCCGGAGCCCTGGGCACTAAACTCTAAAGACTCCACTGTAAGTCTTCTTCACTAGATTATGGACAGATTTATAAGATGCGTCGTGAATACTAACTACCGTTTCCGGGCGCCGCGGGCCATCAACCCCTCACATGGTCCACTTTACTTAATGTAACCTTTTATGTTGTCTTGCTTAGCCAGACCCTCAGGTCAAACTCACCACTACTTTCTGGTTTAACTAACGCGGCACCAGCAGCAACGACAGCTGCGTCAGCAACTTCTACGCGAGGCCATTGCTGCGTACGTGCCATGCTACTGATCATCCGCCTTGCAAAAGTGGTGCTGCAGAGTTTACCTTGACTGGATGACCATATGTGCACATATTGTTATTGAACCCTCAACACCAAATCGCAAAATATGTGGTGCCAATTAGGAACCAGCTGCTGCTATCCACAGAGTGGTACGACAGCGGCCAGCAAAAGTAGAGGACCCAGCAGCGGTTAGTTGGGGCCCCGTCGGTGATTTTCGCTTATTCTCGCGCCTGCCTACTTCACTGCCTCAATACGAGCTCACCGCAGCAGCAACAGCACCAGCTGCTGCAGCAGCAGTAACGACGAGTGCGTTCCGGCGTGTTGGGGTGGCTGAGGTGTACAAAAGCCGCAGCCAAGAGCTCTGAAGGTGTAGGCCAAGCTGAAAAGCAGTTGTTTAATACTCGAACATTTTAACCGCAAGTTCGGATTTTTGTTTGAGGCGCACACTGGCGGCTTGTGGGCCTTTTTACGTGCGTGCTCGCCTACGCTTTCTTGAATATCTATTTTTGCATTTGTATTTCTTGACCGTATCTAGGTGGCATAGGCCAGCAGCCACAATGAAGGTAGCCCGACCAAAGTGTAAGGGTGAAACTTATTATGAGGGCTAGCCACTGCCATAAGGAATACTTAAAAATAAAATTGACAGTTAGGAGCAGAGGGCACATGGCCAGCGGAGGCGTAGCTAGCACTTATTCGTTTATCTACTTCAGTTTGCTTGGTCGGCGGTCCCATCTCCCAGATAGCATGCAAAGGCACAGATGCCACTGCTGCATGCACGCAGGAGGGCCCCACCCGTATTACCTCTCTCTAGGGTTTAGGGTTTAGGGCTTACTACAAGCGCGCCGGGGGCATTAAAAGCTGCTGGAGCCGCGCTGGCCTCGACACACTCCAGCAGCTGTTGCGAACATGGACTGAAAAGAAGAGCTTCTTACAATATTCCCCTTCGCAATAGTAGTCACGCGCAACAAGCATGCAAGCATGCACTGCTGTATATATAAATATATATATATGCCTATTCACCCATGCATGACTCCCTCCGGCAAAACCCTAAAAACAATACTAGCAATGATGGCGCGAACGCCAATGCACGCAGCAACAAAGTTGCAGCAAGTGCACTTCGTGCGCGTAGCAGCATTCAAGCCTATATAAACTGCAAAAAGCGGTAACAGTCAAAAAGTCAGTTGGCGGAAGATTGGTCCCTGAGGCTCTGGCGCTTTCGCACCTCGCGCTTAACCTCTTCATCTTTCTTCGCATGCGTTCTTGTTGCTTGAGCCTTCGGCTGAATCTGCAACAACAAGCCCACCAAACCTCCACACCGAGCTCAGCAGCAGCCCTTGAGACACAATCGAGGCAGCGCTAATCATAGGCGATTACAATAAGGGTCACTGAGGTGCTGCAGCAGCAGCAGCAGCAGCAGCGCCTGCTGCACCGTCTGCTGCTGCTGCTACTGGCGCTACTTACTTGGAACGTTACTCTGGCCCTAGCTGAGCCTGCCTGGTTGCGACAGACAATTACGTATGTCTTTCTGGGAACCCTCAAGGGCCTGACGACATCGCTGGCTTCATCCGCTTGGTAGGCTGCTGCAGCCGCTGCAGCCTCAGCTGTAGGTTGGTACACACCTGAGGCAACGAAAGGCGGCAGCATGTCAAATAATAATAGTGGCAATAATAGTTATGATAATAATAGTAATAATAATAACAATAGCAATTATAATAGTAACACTGGCAAAAATAATGGTGGACACAGAGACGACAGCAGAAGTCAAGAGGTGTGGATGACTGTAGCAGCGCTAGCTGCGTGGCCGTGACAATAGTGACGATCAATCTAATATTACGTTGAATTTGCGAGTTAATTAATTCGTTTTACATCTTTTTGGGTTAGAACGCGGCCAAGAAGATGGCAAGGCAAAACTGGCATTAGAGCTCTTTGAAGGGCGCCAACAAAGGCAGCAAGACACATGTTCACAAACAGCAGCGTTAACACGCAAGCCAATGGTAATGATGGATTGAATAACAACGAGCAGCAGCAACTATCAGAAAACAGAAGCACATAGCGACAAAGAACAGCAACAAGAGCGAATAAACAAGCAAATTTAATTGCTCAGTTTGAAGACGTACGGGATGCTGGGTCGTGAGACTTCGTGAATGCATGCATTAGCTGCGCACTCATGTCGCCCTCGTCTTTGGCCGGAATTATGCCTTCGATTATCCCTGCGTACAAACCCTAAAGCCAAACCCCTAAACCCTGAATCCTAGATCCTAAACCTTTACAGTTAATCATATCCTTGATTCACGCGCTCACTACAAAGATAAGAAAGCCGGGATATATCTGTTGCTCAAGAAGCAAAAGCAGCAGCACCGGCGATCCCAACAACAGCGTTATGACCCCTTCACTTTAAACAGCAGCAGCGGAAGCCTTGCCATCCACAGTAGCAGCCCTCTCCCTACACCCCTTCCACTGCTTCCTCTCCCCTAAGCAGCCCCAGCAGCAGCAGCAGCAGCACACACCAGTTTGCCGATTGAAAAGCAGCCCTGTTTGGGGTGGCAGCCTCGGCGTAATGGACCACCGCAGCTGGGTGCGGTCCACTCTGCCGGACACCGCAGGCTCCAGGCGGACATAAGACCCAGGGGCAAAAGTCACGCACGGCCGAGGGTCCTCGAGGTCAGGCCGGTAGCGCCGGGGTACGATGTACCGCAGCTGCAGCACAGCATATGCATGCCGCATAACGCTTTTTTGTTGCACCTATATGGCATCTATATACAATATATAGAGCACACATGAATGGGCATACATGCTTATTTTTGCATGCACAGGATGCATGTACGTGTTGTGTGAAGCGGCAATTGCAACACGAGAAGTAACAGCAGCAACAAAACAGCCAAAGCACTAGCATTGGCAGCAGCACGAGCAGCATGAAGGGCAGAAACAGCCGTCAGCAGCAGCAGCGTGGCCCGCAGCAAGCAAAAGAAGAGCATGTTCTCAGCTAGTTTCCGCAGTAGCATCAGCAGCAGAAAGATGAGAAGGGATACCTTAAGCGGCTTCCCCTCCTTCGAGGTAGGCTCAGGCTTGTACGCTTCTTGAAGCTCCTCCACTTGCTCCTTAGCCCTCGACAACTTGTCTCCCATAATGGACTCGATGTGTTGCTTCATCTTTTGTTCCACCTCTTCAGCCTCTTGGGAGGCCCCAGACTGGAGGCCCACCGCACCCAGCACCGCCAACATCGACTGCACGGCGGTGCTAACCCCGCTCTTCAAACTCTGCAGCAGCAGCAACGGCAGCAGCAGCAGGGGTAGTCGAGAGGGTGAAGCGAGATGTGGGGACACTGCGAGGTTGGACAGGAGAGTATACATGCGTTATTTTGGGGCCGCGTTTTAACGCTTGCTTTGCATGCGCCGCCCCCCCGCTGGCTCGTTTCTTTATCGGCCCGCATGCATTAGCCTTTGAACTTCTGTGCCTACTATGTCCTTTTTGCCTGTCTGTCTCTGAGTCCCCTCGGTGGCTGCCTTTCTTCAAGGGGTTTGCCCTAGATTTTAGGGTCTAGGGTGTAGAGTTTGCTACTCAAGCAACTGTCCCTGAGACGTGTATAAGGTGCCTGTCTTTATTAAAACAACGCTGGCTACAGCAGTTTGGCCTGCTAAGCCGAGTTGCTACATTGGAAAAGAGATGTGGGTGTACCTCGAAGCTGGAGAAGGCGAGTCCCAAGAAGCCGAAGAAAGCCAGCAGCCCCAGAGTAGTGAGGCAGAGGACGAGCAGCATGCGATCTA